TCTGTCATTATTGCTGTCCGAGGTCTCATTATCGTATCTTGTATAGGCCTAACTTTACGTTGAACTGCTCTGGGAACGGGCCGGACCGTTATCGTTTTAATCAGGGGTGAAAACCCAAACTCTCAATATTTCGCTAAACCCAAATCCTTTTTTAAAATTTAGGGGGCCCAAGCTTTTTTTTAAAAAAATTTTATTTTAAACTTTCATTTATTTATTTTAAGTTATATGTTAAAAATAATATAATATAAAAACATGTAATTTACGATTTTCATTTATAAAAGATTTCCTATTTAAAAAGTGTTCTTATCAAAAAAAATGTTAATTTAAAAAAAAAACATTTTCGCGGAATTATTTTTGTCGGCCATTTTTCATAAAAATTTTAAATTTTACCCAAAGCTGATTTTTAAAGTTTTTTTTATAAATGATTATAAGTAACGAAATCCTTGTTAAAATTGATTTCTCTAACGCCTTCAACTCCATTCGCCATTCTCACTTTCTCCCACAAATATACCACTCATTCCCCACCTTTTCTCAATTCTTCCATTCCTGCTATTCCATGCCATCTCATCTCCAATTCAACAACTATTTACTTTCATCATCAAAAGGGATCCAACAAGGCGATCCTCTGGGCTAGATACTTTTCTGCATTGGAATCAACGAAATGGTCAAAAACATTTCTTCCAACTGCAATCTTCCACTGCACACTTGGCATATTGACGACGGAATACTCAGTGGTCCCCCTAACGAGGTTGCTAAGGCACTCACCATCATCAAAACACATTTCCATGCTATCGGTCTCTCACTCAATAAACAAAAAACTGAGATCTGCCCATTTCATTGCTCTATCCCATTCGCCCACAACCGAACTCTCATTCCTCAGTCATCTCGGCTCTCCAATCGGTGGTCTGGACTGAAATCCATCAATCACTTCTTCACTAACGCATCATCCAGCTTACTTCATTTCAAAAACATCTCTAAGTTTCTCCCACCCCATCAAGCTTTTTTTCTCCTCAAAAACTTTTACTACATTTATAAAAATTCTCTATACCCTTCGATCCACCTCAATTTTCAAATTTCCCGACTCATTAAAATCATTAGAAATCTCCATCAAATCTCTTGCTGAAGAGATCCTTAATCTCCGCTTTAACCATATTCATGGTTACAAGCATCACTTCCATGCAAGCTCGGGGGTATCGGCTTACGCTCACCTCTAACTCTTTCCATCATTGGTTTCATCGCCTCTCGTCCTTCATCTGATTCACATATTAGCCAGCTTTCTAACTCCCCTGACCCCTTATTAGCAGAAGCCCAGACATTTTGGGATAATTCCGTTGTCCCAAATACTCCACGATTTTCCTCATGTTTACAGAGAGACTGGGATATTCCACTCAACGAAGGCTCCGTCGCTTACCTAAAATCGAGCCTTCACGACGATGATCTCACAGTTTTTCACCAATTGAACCAAGGATTCGGTTACGAGTTTCTGGAAACCATACCCTCCAACAACCTCGATTTGTTGCTCTCCGCTGACGAGCTAAGATTTGCTATTGGACTACGGCTCAATTGTTCTTCCGTACCAATACAAACATTGCGAAACCAGCGTCGACCACAAGGGCAGGCACTGCCTCCATTGTCGCTTTTGTCGTGGCCGTTTTTCAGGGCACACCAAATGCAATGACATCGCGCCCTCAAATCAGGAGGCATTCCATCTAGGCTTGAACCAACCGAAATTTTTTGAACCGATGCGAAACGTCCTGATGGAATGTCCTTGATTCCTTGGTCAAGGGGTCAGCTCCTGGTTTGGGACGTCACCTGCATTGACCCAAATGCACCATCAAACCATAACGTCGATGCCCTCGCCCTCGCAGAATCTCGGAAAACCATAAAGTACAGTTTTTTAGACCCTTCTTTCCTATTCATACCCATCGCCTGCTCCATTCTCACCACCTTCGGTAGCAAAGCTCAACGTTTTTTCAAAGAATTAGGCAAGCGGATCCGCGAAAAAACCAATCAGCCTAAGGAATCCCTATTCTTACGCCAAAGACTGGCTACCGCCATCATCCGCTCTAACTATCTAAGCTTCATCTCTTCCATTGAATAACCTTCCATATTCAATTCCTTTTTTTTATCCCTATCCTTTCCCGTAAATTCTATTTCTACATTTTTCACCATTTTAAAAAATTAATTATTTGCTACTACATTTTGACAACATATCAGTAAATATTCAAATAAAGTAACCCATGACTGGAAAAAAAAAATATATAATAATATTTATTTTAGGATATTTTTGTTTAAAGAGAAGTACAAAATCACGAATATATTATATTATAATTAAGGCTGTGCCAATCGGCACCGATATTTAGCGTTTTCCAAAAATATCGAATCGGGCCGATATCTGTAAAAACCGATCAGATTTGATCTTTTTACTTTTCTTTTTTTTGTTATTTTACGTTATGTATATTTATTTTACATTATTATAATATTTTATAAATAAATTTTTTTTAAACAATGCAATGCAAATGCACAACACCCTCTAAATTTTATTTCTTTTTTAAAATAGATTTATAGTATTATAAAAGTTTTTTATAAAAATAGAAAGGAACACCCACAGTTTTATTTATTTTAAATCTTTTTAAATAATAACGCCAATTTTATTATTTATACTTTAAATAAAAGAATTTTTTTAAATATGGTATCTGAATTATGGTAATATTTTACAAAAGACAAAGGTAATTTTGCAAAATGCGTTATCTGCGGAATCATCTGAGTCTGCCTTCAGTACGGCAGGGGATATAGATAATTCATATAGTAGACGCTTATTGCCAGAAAATCTAGAGGCTATCATATTTATTTTAAAAAATCTAATATATTATAATTTTTATATTAAATATTACAATTTTATAATTCGATTTATTGCCTAAAAAATATTGATTTCTTAATTACATTTGGTTAGTGTAAATATCGGATCGATATTAAAGCAATATCGGATCGGTGAAAAATATGTGGATCGGCACAGCTCTAATTATAATGATTATTTTTATGGCAATACTAATTCAAATAAATTTTCAAAAAAATGATGTTTCTGTTGTTTTAACTAATTTTAATAAGCCATTATTTTTCTGGCCTCCGAACCCTGAACCCGAACCGAGTTCAAAGATTTTTCACTGAACCCAAACTCGAACCCATATTTTTAGTAGGTGGGTTCACACCCCTGGTTTTAATATTCATACTTGGAATACTGGCAAATATCAAACAGTACAGAGTGATGCTGCGAATCATTGGCGTTCCGCAGATGGCCGACAAATGGATGAACTGTATTATGAGTAACCAATATATTGGCCAGACGAATCACGTAGCAATGGCGCCAGTCGCATCAGATAATAGGTCCATATCAGGACACACATGAATGGTCAGGGACCCACACAATTTTGGGGATGCTATCACTGCCATAGACAAGATCATATTAAAAAGTACTGTCCACTCCATAGTAGGAATGCGACCTCGGACAGCAACAAAACTGGTATCACAAAAAGGGAACGAGCCTTGGAGACATTGATGTTAAGCAGTGATGAACAATAATTTTTCTAGTAAGAATGTGTGTTGTGGATTATATTATATAAGCTCTTTATTTTATATATTTATTTTTTTTAATTCGGCAGCCATATTACCGAAGTGTACAATTTAGTTGGTCTAAATATGGATTAATCGAGTAGATCAGAACAAGTAATATTTGTTTTTGAAAAGATTTTATTATATTTATAAACAAAATAATTTTATTACTTTACTTACTCAAGTTATTAATACCGGAAGTGTCCTTTGGAAAGGGGCAAGGGCTGGACTCTCCTAAAAAAATTGATATCTTTTTTAAGATAAAATTTTGCTTTTTCTCATTTTAGAATAGAAATACCATTTTGTGCTAATTTAAAAATTTCCCAAAAAGTGACCCCCCCCTCTTGATGTTATAAAAAGGATTCAAACTATTTACAACATCTGCATTATATATTCTTTTGGTATTTAACATTAAAAATAATATTTCCCTATTTCATATATCTAATTATGCCCTTTTAAATGAATATCTTATTTTTATGATGTTGCTAAGGTTCAGTGAAATCGCATGAATGTGAACAAAATTTCAAATAATTAATTTTTAAAACGAGTAATTCAATGCTTCTTTTGTTATATAAACTAATCTTTCAATTACAAAAATTCTCTTGATTGTTATCTAATTTGCCAGCATCTTTAAATTTAATTTCGTTATTTTAGTAAATCCCACAAGACATAAACTACGGATCCAACCGATATACAATTCTCTGGAAGTAAATAAAGTAGTCAATTGTCTAAAGGCTTTGGGGTGTATAAAAGCTAAAGACGATAATGCAAGTATGTGTAGAGTTGATTTGAACATGTTGGAGGTATGATATTGTACAGATTATAAAATTAAAGCAGTTAGATTATATGTTAATTGATATCCGTTAAATAGATTCGTGAGTTATCAATACCTGCCTCAACACCATATGAAAGCACTGGATATAACGAAATACATATCTTATCAGAGGGTTGATGCCGACCTAAAAGAATCTTTCTGAGAAGATCATTATAACAATAATTGGGCGCCAATAACCAATATTGAGCGCACCGGTGACCAAGAAGCAGAGAACGAAAATGGTAAGTGCATCATCAGGATTTTATGTTATAAAGTTATTATTTTACAATGGGGTATTTTTTTAAAATATAAGATATCAAAATAAAAGAAAATTATTTATAACAATTTAAATAGTACAGTGGTGTACTATGAAGATAAAAAAAATAAGAATCGAAAATTTCGAATATAAACGAATATTTTCTAATAAACGAATATTAGAAGTAAATTAATATTTGATGAATAAATTTTCATCATTTTTCCATTTTAATTGAATAATGCGTTTTAGGTTTACTAGGTAAAAATTAAAATCTGTTGCACTATATACTATAAAAAAAACATACAAATTTTTTTAAATTACTTTTTGATAATTATTTTCGCTGGTAGAATTTTTCTTATATCGAGCGCAGGTAGAACTTGAAAAAAAGGAATCCGCTTTCAATTCCCCCTTTGAAAAGTCATCGGTGCCTTTGCTATTATCGTTTTTGGGAGTCGCTATTTCAAAACGAGTAATTTTACAATATAAATTAATTTTTTTTAAAGTTTTCAATGCATTTGGTTTAGGTTGAGGCAGAGCCTGTAAAAAGGCTTGGGTTGCGTTTGTGTTCAAACAAAATGCCTAAACTAGTTTCTCAGAATCACAGTTAAAATCCCTGTCACAAATTAAGATACATTGGAATTGAATCAGGGGCTTAACTTTAGAGCAGGGATGTGAACCTTTAGACAAAAAAAAAGGGTCCGGGTCTAGTAATATATTTATAAGGACCCGGGTTCAGGGTTCGGGTTCAGAGAACATAAAAATAATGACTCAAAATAAGACTTTTTTTTAATTCATTTTTTATTATACTTCAATATATACACATTCATAATTCAAAATGAAATATTTTATATATTTAATTCAATCGCACAATCATGATATCTTCTAAAATATCATCCTTCAGATTTCCACGTAAATTAGACAAAATATATTTCAACGATGAAAATTAACGTTCTACGCTTACATAAAATAGATAGTTATTTAATTGTACTTGTGTCGCCGGCACAGCCATGACGATTCTAGACAAGGTATATAATTCTGAATATCTTGAAGGATTTTCCTCCCAGAATTTTAAAATATTTGTATCTCTATTTATTCTCTTAACTTCTGAGAACTTTTCTATTAAAGATACAATAGATATTTTTTGCTCCTTTCTATCTGATGATAATTTGATTTTTTTCTCTATCTATTAGTAAAATTTCAAGATCATCAATGTTGCTATAATTATCATTATTATAGGTATTGTCATACCACCAATATATTGTAAATAATAGGAGTTTTGGGTATGCCATAAATCCTCAAGATGGTCTATAGCCATTTGTTTTTGCTCAATACTTAATAAAACCTGATATCGAGGGTCTAAATATATTGAAGCATATACAACACTAATTTGTAAATATTGTTGCTCTCTAAATTTCATATTTTCTAATACTTCATATGAAAAAGAACTTGTAAACCTTTCTAACTCTAATCCACATCTTATCCATATGCCATAAAAATCCGATAAACATAACTGTTCTGCTTGCAATCTTAATGTAGTTATTTTTAAAGGAACCAACACACTACTAAGGTCTTTTATTTGATTCCAATCATCTTCCGACAAAATGACTTCACATGCTCCTATAATAAAATCATTACAGAAATTTTTCAAACTTATTAATCGCTTTAGCATCATACAAATAGAGGACCAACGTGTTGTGCAATCTAATATTGCCATTTGCCTTTTCATAGATTTTAATATTCTTACAATTGTGGGAGTTTTTAAATATTTTACATCCCTTGCTTTATCAATTATAGTTTTAAAGTGATTATTTTTTAGGGAATCATTAATAGCCAATTGTAGTGTATGGGCTGCACATCTGATACAGTATATTTTTGTGGAGAAATCTTTTATTATTTCCTGTAAATCAATTTCACTTATGTCCTCATAATTATTATCATCTATATCATCCATTTCTTCCAGCGAACATTCATTTAATAATTTGATTGATTTTACTAGATTAGCACCATTATCCATAGTAATTGTATAAACGTTTCTTATAGAAATCTGAAATTTATTTAATGTTTCTAATATCATTCTTTTTATATTTTCAGAAGTTGAACTCTCTTTAATCTCCTTCATAACTAAATTTGTTAATATTATATTATTTCCTTTTATATACTGTATATTTATTCCTAGAATATTTCTCCCTAATCTTTGGGAGGAATCAATTTTTAATGAAATTAATTTGTTTTTTGTTTCTTTTATTATTTTTGCTTGTATTTTTTTCGATTCATTAACCACTAAGTCCTTAATTTTAAAACGGTTAATTGATGTTCCAATTGCCTTACTAATAGGATCAATAATTTTTTTTAAACCAGAATCCTCAATAATATTGAAAGGTCTTCCATTTATTGTAACAAGCTCAACTAAAGCATTCATCAAATTCACCTCAGACATTTGAAAATGAAAGCATTTTTTAAAGCAAAATTTTTCAATATTATTTTATTTTCATCCTTCTTTATAATACTGACAGTAGACTTTGTAACAATGTCTTCTTATAAAAATTTGGTTTTTCTATTTAAATATTCCTCAAAGATTATAGAATGATGTATTTTAAATGTCTTTCCAGGTTAGTATTGTGTGAACCTTTTATCATTATGTGGCAGGTTTTGCACTCAGAATCCCCTTTAATTGCATTATAGTACTCTAAAAATACCTTTTACTTTCATACTAAAAAAACAAAATTTAATTTGTTTAAAACTTAAACATAGAATGTATATATTTTTTATTAAGGCTGCATCCAAAATCTTAAAAATATAAATAAATAAATTTTGAAGAAAAAAATTACATAATCTATTTTTAATGTAAAAATAAAATAGTGTCCAATTTCATTTTTCATATTTATAAAAATTTCACAAATTACAAATTGAAATTTTTATAAAAAAAAGTACAATTCTTCTTAATGCTGTTAATTTTTATAAATTTACTACCCAAACGATTATAGCCTTTTATATTAATATATTTTACGAAAAAAATTATAAAAATTTTATATTATTTTTTAACATTATTTTTAAAAAACTATATTTTTATGTTAAAAATTTTTTTATAACACCCTGAACCCTTGGACCCTCCACTTTTTAAAAGGATCCGGGTCCGGGTTCGGCCAAAATACGAGGGTCCAGGAGGGTTCAGGGTCCGGGTTCACATCCCTGCTTTAGAGTGATCGTATATTACTTGATATCAACCAATATACAATTATATTTCTTTAAGCTCACTTTCATTGATCTCTTCCCTATCATCCAATACGTCTTCGCCTAAATTTTCAACAGAGGATAGATACCAAACTAAAGAAGATGCCTCGGTAGCGCTATTGATACTGTTATAATTATCCACCTGGCTACTTCCATCTAACAAAGAAGTGACGAAAGGTTCTTTGTTGGCGTCGCTGTTTAGGATAAAAAAATTGTGTTCTCTTGAAATATAAAATGAAAAAAGGAGTTCGAGGTGTACCGATATAGCTTTTAAAAGGCCAATACGATATTGCCTGATCGTTCTTTAAACGAGGCATAAATGTTACTCTCTTATAGTCCATTTATATAGTGGCGTAGCCAGAATTTATCTAGAGGGGTGGGGAGATTAACAAAATGGGAGCTCAGCCGGGTCCTACCTATGTATCTGATTAGGTATTTTTGTTTAAGAATTATAATCAATAAAAAGATTTTTTTTTAAATCGTATGAAGATATTTAATCTGAAGATTATAAAAATGTTTAGGGTGTGTCCTGGTTCGACATGTTTTTGATAATCCGTCTGGTAGATAGTAGGCTAGGGAATGGGAAAAGCCCATCTTGACACACTGAACGTCGGCCCCAATTCATTCCCAAAAATTGGTTTTACTAAAAAATGATCAGTCCTTTATATGCGTCTGAAGACGAGTTTGTCTTGAGAATAAAAGAGCGAGAAAGTGATTTTCAAAATTATAAATAAAATGATCAGATCTGTAGGTAATTATTATCTAAAGCTTTTAATCGTCAATTATGTATTAGTGTACTTTATTGTATTTCGTTTATATTACAAGTTGTTTTTAAATTAATAATATATATTAACATTATACAATTTCCATTCTACATCCCGGTCATTCCATGTCAAATGAGCAAAAATTGAAATTTTCTATCGACCCCTTTCATTTGTAGGCACGTTATAAATATTGCAGTTTAATCAAAAACAAATTTAACTCGTTACTAATTATATTATCTAAGATAATGAGGATTAAAAGTAAGAAAATCTTCGATTTTTACATTTTACTATGTTAAATAATTAGTTTTTAATTATATCGCGAACAATGCATAAATAATGATATAAATAGTGCTATATATGCACAATGCAATAAATCTTTTTTATTATTTAAAATCATAATAGATATATTACTCACAAAACAATAATATTCATGCTGTAAAATAATTTTAAAGATGTAAAATGACTAGTATTGCAATGAAGCTTTCATATATAGCGCCACCTATACCAATTTTTATACCCTATTAATAACTAGTCAAATAAATTATTAGAAAAATAGTAAAAGAATAATAGAAAATAAAAATTGGAGCTCATGGTATATTCGAAATATTATGTTTTAATTTTTAATTGTAAATAAGATGACTAATATTTAAAAAAATTGTTTCTCCAATAATTATCAATTAAGTTATTAATATTAGATTCAATATTTAGACTTTAATTAAGTTTTTAATAAGACTAATTATTTAACATCAGTAAAAGGTTTATAAAAACTGATATTTTATCTTTAATCCCTATTATCTAAGATAACATAATTTAAAATGAGATAATATTTTATTTGATTCAACAATCCTATCTTATATATAATCTCCATAATCAAAATATGATCGTCTTTGTATCATCTAAATGTTAAAATATGATCGTTTAAACATATTAACGTTATTAAAATTTATTTTTTGCCATCTACCAGTATCGAACCACAAACATCACGTTTCAAAAGTACACGCTTTAAGCATGCACTAACTTGAATTATAATTATATTCAAAATATTAATTATATATATTAATAGCTTATATTTTTAAAATTTTGCCGTTTATTACCATACTAGGTAATAACACGTAAAGAATGACGAGGTTGAGGGATAATTAGTTAGTTTGTGTATATGGTACTAAATATACTTTATTAATATATTTTATAAAAATATTAAAATTTAGGAGAAAAAAAGGTAAAATTGTTGCAATGTAACCCGTGGGCATTAAGAAATTTGTGATAGCAATCATATTGGGTATTTAAAATAGAGATGCTTGGAAATTTTTTAATTTTAAATATGAAATTTCTTTTTGCAGACATGGCCAGGCCTGATCAAAAAATCAAGGCCCTGCAACTATGATATTCTGATTGTATTTTTAAATGAATTATGACTTCATATATTTCATTTCAGTTATCGCCGGGGTGGCCTAATGGGTAAGATGTAGGCTTGGAAACACGAGTATGAACAAGGACGCGGGTTCAATCCTGGTAAGAACCATAAAAACTTTCAAGTTTTTCTTCGATGACTGATGTGTAAAGACATATGGTATGATGAATTTCGGAGCTTAGAGATGACACCCCGGTCACCGACAGGCCTGGACAGCCGGGTGCTAAGGATACCTGTCCAATAAACAAAATGAAGGACACAAATGAAAATATGAATATGAAAGCTAGGGCGTTCCCTCCATGCGACGCGCAGGGTGTAGACCTCCATCCTGTGAAAAATAAAGTAAAGGTCAAAGCAAAGAAGACAAGACTGGCAAGTTTGAATATTGGGACGCTTAAAGGTAAGACGAGAGAATTGGCATCAATGTTGAACAGGAGAAAAGTTGATATAGCCTGCATACAAGAGACGAAATGGAAAGGACAGAAGACTTTGATGATTGGAGATGGGTATAAATTGTACTATAATGGACTTGTTAGCAATAGGAACGGTGTCGGCATCATCCTCAGTCAAGATCTAACCTCCTCAGTTGTAGAAGTCAACAGGATCTCTGATAGACAAATGAGGATAAAACTCTGCATTGGTCAATCAATACTACACATCCTATCAGTATATGCTCCTCAAACGGGTTGCAAGGAAGAAGAGAAAGATGACTTTAGAGCTATCCTTGATGAAGCCGTAATGGAAATCCCTAAGGATGACCTAGTCATAATTGGTGGTGACTTAAATGCGCATGTGGGGAAAGCAAGAGATAGCTACAAAAGGCATCATGGTGGTTTTGGATATGGAGAAAGAAATGATGAAGGAGAGCACGTACTGAAATTTGCGCAAGCCTTCGACCTTGCCTTAACCAACACCTACTATAGGAAAAAAGACAGTCATTTAATAACATATGAAAGTGGTACTAGGAAAACACAGATAGATTACATGCTAATCTCTCGCAGAAGATTAAAAGATGTAATAGACTGCAAAGTCATCCCAGGAGAAGATATCGCCGCTCAACACAAGCTACTAATCATGGATTTACAAATCTCAAATAAATCCACTCAAAATAAGATAAAACTGGAACCATGCATCAAATGGGGCAAATTAAAAACAATGACAGATGCCTTTGCAATCAATGCAAACATTGAAACAATAAATTGCTCACAAGTCAGTGAAAAAATCTGGACAGACCTTTCATCCAGATTAATAGACACTGCAAAATCGACGCTAGGCTTGACAAGAGGAGGCAACAAATCACACAAAGAACTATGGTGGTGGAATCAAGAGGTACAAACCACTATACAGGAGAAAAAAGCCCTTTATAAAATATGGTACAAATCCAAAAATGCAGATGACAAGTCAAGATACAAAAAATCCAAGAGATTAGCTACAAAGGCGGTGGCTAGGGCCAAATCTATGGCATACGATGACATGTACGAAGATCTACATACCAAAGAAGGGCAAAATAAAATATACAGATTAGCCAAACAGCGAGAAAAGAACTCTAGGGATATAAACGGAGCTCCGAAAGTAATCAAAAATAAAGATGGGAAATTGATAATAAAGGAAAAAGAAATAATGAATAGATGGAAAGAATATTTTCAGGAGCTTCTCAACTTTAATTCCCACATATTGCATCTCGATGAACACTCCCCTTGTCAAAACCTTGTACAACCTATAACGGAACAAGAAATAATCACATGCCTCAAGCATATGAAAAACAACAAAGCTAGGGGTCCAGACGATATTCCAATAGAAAGCCTTAAAGCACTAGGAGATGATGGAATACATCTCCTCACAAATCTGTACAATAAAATACTTGGAAATGAAGAGGTCCCCCAAAAATGGAGGCAGAGCTATCTAGTTCCTATCTTCAAAAATAAAGGGGATCCACACAATTGTCAAAATTACAGGGGCATAAAACTAATGTCACACTGTCTAAAACTATACGAAAAAATAATAGAAAAAAGATTAAGAGATATAATCGAAATAGGAGAGACACAGTTTGGCTTTATGCCTGGAAGATCAACAACCGATGCTATCCATGCAATTAGGCAAATGAGTGAAAAATACAGGGAAAAGAACAAAAAGCTACACATGGTCTTTCTCGATCTAGAAAAGGCCTTCGATAGAATCCCAAGAAAACTTATCTGGTGGGCGCTACGCCACAAAAAAGTTCCCGAAAAATATATAAGAATAATAGAGGATATGTATATGGGACATACAACAATGGTCCGTAGCACAACAGGTACTTCAGCAGGCTTCACAATAGCCGAAGGAGTTCATCAAGGGTCGGCTCTCAGCCCACTTCTCTTCATTACAGTAATAGATGTATTAGCACAGTCTATACCTCAAACAGTCCCGTGGAATATGATATTTGCAGATGATATTGTGATACTTGCCGAATCCAAGGATGAAATGAAAGAAAGGTTAGTGAATTGGATAAATATCCTAGAAACGCACGGATTAAAAGTAAATAGAGAAAAGACGGAGTATATGGTGATAGGAGGAGATGAAACGGAGAGTATTGATATAAATGATTGGCAGATATCCGCAATTGAAAGCTGCAAATATTTGGGCTCCACTATACAAACAAACGGCACAATAGAAAAAGAGATAAAGAATAAGATTAATCAAGGGTGGTTAAAGTGGAGATCTTTATCTGGAGTGCTATTTGACAAAAGAATCCCACACAAATTAAAGGGAAAAATTTACAGTTCCATAGTACAACCAACTATTCTATATAGTTCGGAAACATGGCCAACCAAAGAATCAGACGAGAGAAGTCTACAAACTATGGAGATGAGAATGCTGAGGATGATTGCTGGGGTAACAAGAAAGGATAAGGTGCGCAGTACAAGAATACTAAATAGTTTAAAGGTAGTGCCCATTAAGACTAAGTTAATGGTAAACAGACTTAGGTGGTATGGGCACACAATGAGAAGGCCTATGAACTACATAGGAAATAAAGTTGAAAGATTGGAAGTGATGGGCAAACGTAAAAGAGGAAGGCCAAAACTTCAATGGGGCCATAAAGTTAGAGCCAATATAAAGAAGTATAAAATAGATAAAAGAGATTGTACGAATAACATAAAGTGGAGAGAGATGTTGAAGGAGCTTACCACCAGAAAAGGTGAAAGCTAAAGAGAAAAAAAAAAAAAAAATTTCATTTCAGTTCTCAACTACCAAAATTATTAAGTCTTTGGCGGGCTTAAGAAAATTTTCCCTATGATGTGCATGAACCTGGATTGGGATTTTTTTAATATTAGATATTAGGCATAGGTGTAATATTTAACACAGAATATTTATATGGGCCTTAGGTAAAAGCTAATTTAAATATATTTTTGCTCAAAAATTTTAAAATTATTATGGGTTGGCCAAGTTTGAGAAAATTTTTTTAAAATTATTATGGGTCAGGCTGGGCTTGGAAAATATTTATAAATTACATTGGGCTGGGCTTGGGGAAAATTTTTCAAAATTATTATCAGCTTGTTTTTTTATTATTAACTATGGTTCAGACATTGACCTAAAACAAATTTTTTTGCAGGCCTGGGCTCGGCTTGATTAAAAAATCAAGGCCCATGAAAATCTGATTTTGATTGTAATTTTAATTCATTATGAATTTTTAATATTTTATTCCAGTTCTCAACTACCAAAATTATCATGATCTTTGGTTGGGCTTGGAAAACTTTTTCAAAATTATTATGGCCTTGGACCTTGCTTGGGAATTTTTTTAATATTAAATATTAGTAAAAGCATTTTCGGCGGCGGTGTTTCTTTTTATAAAATAATCGGCTGGCGGCGGCGAATCGATTTAGACGCAAAAATCGGCGGCGGCGTCAAATATTTTTATAACTTAAATTTTTTTAATTAAGATTATAAATTCATTGGAAACACTTTTAAAATAAAATTTATGCTTTATTATGTTTATAACTATAATTTAATAATTTTATTAAGTTATAATTATCATGTATAAATATTATTTTATTTAGATTTATAGGACATAATAATGATCTTTTAGAGTTGAGTGAGTCCAGCTATGAAAAATACACGCTCGCTGGGTGTGCTCGTACCTGGAACGCACTAGCTACTATTGAAAGTTTAGGAAGACCCAATGCTCTTATTAACTCTAAGAAATATTTTATCTCTAAATTATAAGGCTAAAATAATGAATAACACTCTTTTTCTAAACTAGTTAAATAGTCTTGTTGTTTCAGATTATTGTTATGAATAGATGAATGTTTCGTAGTCAATGACTTAAGATAATCGAGTTTTGAAGCAACTTCCGTCGTTTCATATTAATTTAATTTGTCCGTGTAAGGCCGTAGAGAGGTAGAGTGTTAACATAAAAATTGCACCGAAGTAATATATTTTTCCTTTAAATATTCATTTACTATGTTTATAGATTGAAAACGAAGATCCAAAAGTGCTCCTAACACCTAAGTAAAAAAATAAAACAAAGAGAAATAATATATAAAAATAATTTATGTATTTTAAAATACTACCTGAAGATCGGTTATTGGAAATCTATGATCAAATTTAGTAAGCATATTTTGTTTAAAGGATGCTATGGGAGGACTATCATATCCTTTTACAATAAAATGATTTCTAATTTCACTACAAAATAATAAGGATAAATTTATAGTAACTCCTTTTTGGGTAGATAAAAATTCAACAGTTTTTTTGAAGGTTTTAAGAAAATTTAAAAGTTCATGCACCAAGTTCCAATAGGAGTTAAATAATTTGAGATCGGGTTTCTCCATCCTATTATAGAATGTTTATAGGATTTCTGTTATTGCCAGTCACACTTTACAGCATTATTAAAATACTACGCCAACGTGTAGGCCCATATAATTTTAAGGTTTTATGTTTTTTCTCATATGATTTTTGATTTTCACTATCATCATCAAACCCCAAACGATCTTCATAAAAAGGATCATTATCATCCAAATCTAAAATATCCGATGTATATGATATCGATTCCAAAAAATTTTCTATTTTCGATATCGTTTATATTTTTGAAATCCGATGTTTTGAATCTTAAGGCAATTATAACTTCCTTCTTTCACTTTTTTAAAGAGATTTTCTATTTTATTAACTTTTTTATTCCATCTACTGTCACTAGATTGTGTAATCCATGCCCCAAACATAAATGATGATCATATTCTCCTAGACGAACACTTTTCTTCACATTGGGTCCTGCATCCGTAACCATTTGAATTTTCTGACCCTAAATCAAATTCATTTTCAACTTTTTCTATCTCGGAAAGAATAGTTTCAGCTGTATGTTTTTGAGTGACATGATGTGTCGCCAATGTATATAATACAATATTAAAATTATTATCTATTTCGTGAAATGTAAAGTTAATATAATTTTGACGTCTTTATTTGTCGGTCCACATATCAAAAGTTATAGCACAAAATTTAGGACCTATATTAATTTGTTGGCATATGTATGCTTTCATTGATACACATCATCTAATCCACTCCGGCTAAGTGTTGTTCTTTCTGGTAAATCTTTTGTATCTGAAATAATGCCATATTTATATATAATAAAAAGTTAATAATAAAAATATTATGCCATAAAAAATTCTAAATGTGGGATGATTTCAGTTTTATTTAAATATTCTATCATAAAATAATTAAATATCTTAACAGTTAAAATAAAAATTAGAATTGCCCTATAAAAAATTATAATGATTTTACAAATAACCTTTAGAAAATCTTGCATTCCAGTATTATTTATAGAAGAGAATGAATATAATTCCTTACCAGAATCCATTTTTTATCTTTTATAGGGTCAGTTGTATCTTTTACAATGGGTTTGAAAAATAACTTTAAATTTTGTTTAATTTCTTCTTTACATGATAAATCATGTTTGTCAAGTAAATATTTTATTATGTTTGATAATATTTTTAAAATAATCAAAAAATTTACTCTGAAAATGAATCATTATTTTCATCCCCACCATCTTTATCAAGTGCTATTTGCAAGCATATATTACAAAAGACTTTATCTGTAGCAACACCGGTTCTCTTATTATTTGTATCAGTTTTTAATATTAAGGATCCAAAATGTTTCCATGCAAAAGAGGCTTTGCTTGCAAGGATATACTATATTTTCTTACAGGGTATTGCAATGCTGCATCCATTATAATTGTTTTAGTCCTGCTATTTTTATATATGTTATAGTGGCAACAAAATAAAAATCATTAATTAAAATTTCCTTTTATGATAAAAAATTAATTTTATATAACGAGTTGTAGATTATTTGAAGCATCAAAAATTAAAAGAATAAAATATAGAATAATATCAATATCTTTTCTATTTTAATCTTATTTTATCTAGCACGTTGGTCACAGACCTGCCCAAAGTGAGCGAAAGTGTATTATATGGATTGTTACAAATCAAATTTATAGCAAATAATATTTATTAATTTTAAAAAATAAAATCGCATTTTTTAATAATTCAAAAAAAATTTATTATTTTATCTAATTACAATTCATAAATAATATATAAAATAAATATTATTTATAATAATAAAAAATATGTATCACGCCGCCACGCCGTCGAATTTTTACATAGGCGGCGGCGTGGTCAAAAATTACCGGCGGCGGCGCACAATATTTTAACAAATAATTTTGATATGGATCAAGTAAACTTTAAATATATTTTGACTCAAAACATAGTATTTACACTTGGTTTTATAGGATTGAACCTGGGAAGAGGGGAGGGGGTTATAAAGAATAAAAATTGGATATTATTTTCAACTAACTGGTAACAACTATCATAAAAGTAAGGAGGAAATTCTCATTCCCCATTATTTTTGACGGGTAATCTACCAGTAACAACATTATTGTACATTTATTAATAATTTTGTTGTTATTATATTTATTTTATATAATCACATAGTTTATTGTTTGAAGGAAAAAATTGCGCTGGATCAGCCCGGAGGAGGCCTTTCACATTTTTTAGTAAATAATATAAGGAAAAGTATTTAGTGAAATAAGAAAAAATTGGCATCAGACTAGAAATTAAAACATTATCTATTACGGGAATATTTATGCCTAAATATTGCTTATTAATTCCTCAATAGGCATTGTTAACCATATAAATAATCCATTATAAATAAAAGTAATATATTATCTCATGCTTTAAGTGTGAAATGAGTCAATATTCTGAAAACATCAATTTTGAAACTTATTATACCAAATCATTGAGTTGTGCTTAATTAATTATTATATTTTATAAGTCTTTGTAATAGATGGATTTTTTAATTTAGCCAACTATAAGCAAAATAAAGTCTCTCTCATATGTTCCATGGGATTCAACCCCAACCTCTACTTTTCGCCTAGATATCGATATAAATGTATTATGAAAGCACATAATTTTATCCTATCATATTTTCCATAAAGGAGGGGTTCGTCCCAAATCCCCATTGTCTACGCCACTTTTATAGTAGTTCAAATACTAACTTACTGAAAAAAGACCATGTTTCTTTTTAAATTTTTATGTCATTAACAATGACCATAAATATAAAATGAATCCAGGTCAATATAAAAATATTGGCCGCTACTGATATTTCTAAAAAAATTAATGATCGGACCAATCAGATAGATTCATATAGAGGTAAAGGTATGCATCTTTATTATACTCAAATCTTTTTTAAAAAAAGTCGTATTTGCTGGGAATATTAATAATTTTTGTTAAGTTTAAAAGACTCACAACACGCTCTGAGCACTATCACTAAAACTAGCTAAGGAAGTGGAAGACGGAATGGAGGCTAAACTGTCTCTGGAAGCCATTGCCGGGCCACGAGGCTTTATGAAAGCTTTCCCCCTATTTGTACGGTCTATTCCAGTCATCCTGTTAGCATTGATATCACTATTCATCCCTTCACCTTCGGCGCTGTTAACTGCTTGAAGCAGTAGAGAGAGGGGAGGCATGGATACCATGCTAACCGTGTTTTGAGGCAATTGACCTCGGCCTAGTAATGTGTTTGTCAGGAAAAGAAGCTTTTCACGCTTAGATTTGGAGAGTTGCTGTTGATTATGGTGTGTAGTAGAAACACACATATTATCCAATATCTTTTTGGACACGGTGGGATTTTCCTAAAAAAGAAGAAATTATTTTCATGATTAAAACAAAATATCCCCAGAAGATTTTGTTTTAAAAAGTGGGGTCAAAGACATTTATCCTTAAGGTTTTAAAAATATCTAGTGATATATCGTGATTATTATAGAATTCTAACTCCATTTTTATCAATTAAACTGGAGCTATTTAAATAAACACTGTCAATGGAGTAATTATCACGTAAAAACATATTTAAAAAATAATCATTGCGGTTTTATGCAATGTAAAAAGGATGGCTGGGGACCTCAAAGGATAGCACTTCAACCAATAGTAAAATTATATACTATATAATAAGCGAATAAAAGTTTATTATTTGAAATTATAAGTAAATTTGTAGTTAAATAGTCCCTACAAGAAAAAGATAATTAAAAATTAAGCTTTATAACGTTATCTTAGGCCATATTTTATTAAAGTTTATCGGCAACAAAAAATAAATTTACCAAAAATTTTTCTGCCGATTCATTCATATTTGAAGTGTTGGCATTGAGAATAGAATTTAAACCAGTATTGCAATTATTACTCCCTATAATCAGATTAGGAAAACTTTGAGCCGTACTCAAGGATGTCATATTAGGCCCTTTCAAATTTCGATAAAGTATATATATATTTTTTAATTATAACGACTTTGATGATTCAAAAAAAATTACAGTAATCAATTATTAATTTAAAAAAGCTCACAATCATGGAAGTAAAAATGGCGTTGTTTGGAATTGGGAATGTTTCGCTGAAGGTAAACTCCCCTATCCTTCCTTCTCTGTTCTCTCAGAGCGGCCATGGCCAACTTATCTAGTGATTTTCTTCTAGTTCCAGGGGCAGAAACATAGGCACCTGTCTCCTCGTTCTCTTCTTGTAAAAACTCTTCGTTATCGTAAATATTGCTATCCCTGGATGATGCAATTATGTCTAGGGATTGATTCAGGCGGTTGTTAGGCGAGGATATTATAAAATTATTGACATTATTCTTACCGTGGTCGTTGATACTTGAATTGTTAAAGGAAGCGTTCAGGGTTTTTGAATTAAGGTTAGTATGGAAGGAAGAGGCCAAGGTAGGCAGCTGCTGGAAAGAGGAGCTACTTGAGATGCCCTCCGTGGAAGCCTTAAAAATTTAATATGGGAAAAATTAGAGGAAATAAAAGAAGGTCTAAAGATTGCATGAAAATATATACCGTGGTGTTTAGGAACTCGTTTGAAGTGGTAGAAGCGACGAATTCGTGGGATTCGAAAACTGTCTCACTTGGCCAATTGTTACCAGAGTCTTGCCGCCAAGCGGTACATTGTCCTGGGGAATCCAGCAAATTTGATGTAGAACTACATTTACGATTTATCATAGGTGACACTGGTTTATTTACTAGCAATAAGTTGGTTTCCAGATTTTTCTCATCGGCACCTTTTAAAGAAAGAGGCGTATTTTTAGGTAGATCACTGGTATTCGTCGTTTCTTCTTCAGCAAGTTTTTTGAGGGGTTTAAGGGGATAAGGAGGGCTGGCAGGTAGATTAGAATAGTTATTACGGGTCGTGTAGGTAACATTGTTGTTATTGGAGGAGTAAAAATCGGAAAAGTATTTATTGCTAGCATTGTTTCGGTTGTAAGGTGATAAGGGTACGTTATTGGTAGGTCTTTCAAAGCTGAAAACGTTTTTATTAGTTAAAGAAGAGGAGGAGGAAGCAGCAGGTGGAGAAGAGGATAGAAGTTTCAAGTCACGTCTTTGACCCTCGGCACCCATACGATAGGAATTATTAATGCCCGTTATGTCCCATATTACGTTTACCCAACCTTGAATTTAAAAAATATATATATCCAAATATCTTATTTTAAAATTTGTGTATCATATTTGTTGTATACAATGATTAGTTATATAGTTAGTAAGGTTTAAAAAAAATCTTTACCATTTTTGACAGGTCCTAAAACGGTTCCAGTCCCTGGTGGGTCACCGTCTTGATTTTGCCACTTCCAATCCGGTCCCCTAACAACTTTACTCCCTAAATTAAGATTGGGAGAGATGAGCGTTGGAGAAATTGAAGACAAGTTGTTGGTGTTATTCGTAAGGATGTGCGATTTATAGGGTTTAGGTTTATTTAGTTTTCGTTTCAGCTTATTTATAGCTTGAAAAACGTGACCAGATTCGAAAAAGAGGGCTGAAAAAAATTTAAGTTTAGTATACAAAGTTTTTTTTTAAATCTAAAAACTTAGTTAACTTATAGCAATATTGAAATTTTCTTAAAATTAAATAGATTCAACAAATCAATATTATAAAAAATCTTTGTACAAACTTTTAAAATATAAATAATCGCGCACTTATTTTGTCGCAAACGCCTACTATGGACCCATACAGTTCGAGCCCCGTTATATTCAGATAGTATTGTGTTGGGCTTGATGTAGAAGGACCTGGATTATTATTCATTAAAGCATTGTTATTAGATTCGGATGCATTGGATACCGATGATATCTTAAAATACCTCCAGCCATCTCTACCATCTTCAAAACTGGTATTAAAATCCTTTACGAACCAACATGTGTAGGTGAGTCTTATAAGAAAAAATTTTTAAAAAGGCAATTATTTATTTTATTGGTTATAAAAGGTTTTTTTTTTATTTAACTAAAAAAATATATATGGTTCCTGTTATTATAATTTAAAATTTAGGTAAGTAAAAAAAAGGGCATGTGACTATAATTATTAAAATGGCGCTTTATATATAGATTAACAAAATATGAGAGCTAAATTTTCAAAATATCCGGAATAAGGGTTTACAGTAAAGCCGACGATGTTTTACAATTTAGGGAACAATATTATATTGTTAACAAACCCCCCCCCTCCCCATTCTAGAACTAACCCAGCTTTATATTTAGAAAACCTGTTTTTTAATGTTTATATAAGTATTTTTTAAATTTCTAGAATATTTTTGAATGGAGGGATTAACCTGCCTAATATAAAAGTATTTTTCATTTCTAACCCAGAATCGAGAGGTATTTTCTCATCGGTAGTGAAAGTCATCAAGACCCATTCTAGCGCATCTTTGGAGACGTAAAAATTTTGACTTATATTTTGGTGAAGAGATGATCTTTTAAAATAAAAAAGATGTTTTTAAATTTCAAAAAAAATATGACTAAATTGCTTAAGTGAGATATCAGAAATTGACCTGTTTAACTAAAAAAGATTCTAACAATTAAACCTATTATAAAGAGTGATCATGTAAGAGCTGTTATGTTATTGGTCAACGCAAAGTAGAAAGGTGATCAATATTGTAAAACATTTTATTAGAAATCTTTAAATAATTGACAAGGAGTGACAGATCTAATGGGGTTTTGATTAAATTTTGGGCAGGGCTTGACAACTTATGAAATATTTTTAGGGGCTAGACTACAGTTTTGAAACCTTAAAATTATGAATTAGGCTCATTTATATCATTTCCTATACAAAAATTCGGGCTGGAGAACTTGGATAAAAAAAATTATAAGGGCTAAAATTTCGGGCCGCTATGGCATTATATAATAGAAATATACTTTAAAGACGGTTTTCCGTTCCTCAATGTTATAGTTGTTGGTAAGAACCAAAGTCCCAAATCGATTTCTAACCATGATTTTCTATTTTAAAAAAATTTTAATTTAAAAAGAAAGTAAACAATAAAAAAAATTGAAATTAGTTTTTAAAAAAATTTCTCAATAGCTTTGTAAATTGTAGTTAACTGTCGAGATTCGCTCAAAAGTAATTGAACATATTTTTAATATTCATATGTAAGAATTAGCTCAACACAACGTATAAGTGATATTTATTTCAAGATTAGGTGTTATATTTTGACGATCGCTAATTTGTATAAAGTCGCAAATAATAATATTTATATCGTTTATTAAACTTGTTTATATATAAAATTACCCCCACCTTAAACATCTAAAAATTTAGAAGTCTTTTTTTAAAGAGAATATTAAAAACGTGGCCAAAAAATTTGTTAAATTTTAATATTGTGATTCCTTATAAGGTTTTTAAACTTTTGAAACAAGTTTTGCAACCTACGTAAATATTCATTGTTATTATATCAACTTGTCATCAAAAATCTTGTGAGAGGGATTTTCTCTGTTAAATATATCCTCAATTTTAAATTGATTTATGTAAGGAATATTGCTGCCGACCGCGTTATGATTCGATGGTCCACATCTTATGCCAATGAGATTATGAGTGGCTGGATTAACCCACTCTTTGCAGGTCCTGTTAAATTGTTTCAAATATTATAAAAAAAATAAGAATTAAGTTTATAAAAAATCTTAAAAGTGATTTTAGTAGATTGTTGCTTTTTATAAACTACAATTACAAATAAAGAATTTAATAAAATTAAGTTATCAAGAAAAAATCCTAAGCTGTTAAAGTAACGAGATATCGTATTAGATATATTTAAGGGTAACGGCGATACATCTTTTACGGTGTTTTACCATATGAAATTTCTGCTTAAAAGTAAGCTAATATAAAATGGCGCTTAGGACCAAATTTTATTCGAGTGACTGTTGTATCTGTTGATATATAATTGACATTTATGGACGTTTTTCAATGACTTCGAATAAAAGACATATAATTTTTTTATCTTTGTTCTTTTTAGAAGTGTGACATTATTATTATAGTGATATATTTATGAAATAAAAGAAATCGTGGGATTATCATTATAGAATCATTTTATTTTAAGAAAAGTTACGAAATTATATTTTTACTTGGCGTTGGTGCCCATCCAATAAAACAATCCCTTTTCGTCAAAATCGGATGAATGCACAAAATTGATAGATTCCGACGTTTTGTTTTTGATAGTTTTAACAAACTCAAAGGTCGACCGTGGGTAATCAAACCATTGTTTAGAAACCTTATAGAAGAAAATAAAAATAATTTAAATTCCAGTGTCATAAAATAAATAAAGGATAAGCAAAATAGCATAATTCTAACTTATCCTATAATTATATAAAACATGTCTATATATAATATATAAACTTTCATGTGATCTATTTATATAACATAACATTAACTTTTTGATTAACAAAATGTCTCAAGCTATTGATTTGAACTAGAGGCTCTATGCGTAAAATTTTTCCGGTTTTGTCTAACAAGACGTTCTCTTCAGGATGCTTCTCCAAAGTAAATCGCAATTTTTTGACTAACATCTGCAATCGAAAAAGATTTTCAGAAAAATTTTGTTAAACATTTTTTACATTTTGAGATCATTTAAACCAATTACACAAGACAAGACGCATATAAACTAGTGCTGTAAACGTTACTACAAAAAAAAACGCATTACCGTTACTCGTTACATCTGAAAAAAAAGGAACGCGTTACCTTTACTCGTTACTTTTCAAAAAAGGAACGCGTGTTACCGATTTTTCAAAAAGTAAAGGGCTACTCGTTACTTAAAAAAATTAAATATATACAAAAATAATTTTTATTTTTACAATATATAATAAAATAAAACTATACAAAAAGAATATATAAGACCGTTTTATAAAAAAAATATTCATATATTTAATTATAATATAAATAAAATTATACAAAAATATTATATTATAGATAACATCTTTATGTAACAATTTTTTATTTATTTTTAGCACAATTGATTTCAAAATTTTGATCAGATAAACCAGAGCGCTTAGTGCTCAACACAGCTGGTTAAATAATGGGATGTTATATATAGAATTTTAATAATAAATAAAATCTATAATAAAATTCTCTGTAAAATTTTGTTATTGTATAAATCCTGGTTATGCCACTCTTTCATATTTATTTATTATTTAAACAGTTTTTTAAAATCACTATTTTTATTCTTTAAATTTATTAATGGAGTCAAACCAATAGCAATACTAAAACAAGAAATAGAAGATATAAAAAACTCAATATAATACCTTGAACCAAAACCAATATTTTGTTAATTTTGGGTTTTTAATATTGGTTTCCAGTCCAATACTGTAGTATAATTTAATTGCTTATATTTAGGGCTAAACCGATCCACATATTTTCACCGATCCAAACCGATATTGCTACAAAACTGATGCGATACTGATACCTATCCGATATTTATATTGAACCAAATGTAATTATAAATCAATATTTTTTATGCAAAAAATCAAATTGTGCATAATTGAATTTTTTTTATTTCTACAATTAAGACTATAATTTAAAAAACATATATTTATAATATATCCATTTTATTTTGGTATGAATTATACAATTGTTTAATAAATAAAATTATAATATATTAGATTTTTTAAATAAATACAAGAGCCTCTAGATTTTCTGGCAATAAGCTTATACGATATGGAGTATCTATATCCCCTGCCGTACTGAAGGTGAACTCAGATGATTCCACATATAACGCATTTTGCAAAATTATCTTTGTCTTTTGTAAAATATTTCCATAATTCATATACCATATTTAAAAAAATTCTTTTATTTAAAGTATAAATAAAAAAATTTAAAATAAATAAAACTTTGGGTGTTCCTTTCTATTTTTATAAAAAAAACTTTCAAAATATTATAAATCTATTTTAAAAAAGAATAAAATTTAGAGGGTGTTGTGCATTTGCATTGTTTAAAAATAAATTATTTAGAAAATATTATAATAATGTAAAATAAATATACATAACATAAAATAACAAAAAAAAGAAAAGTAAAAAAATCGGATCTGTTTTTTACAGGTATCGGCCCGATCCGATATTTTTGGAAAATTTTAAATATCGGTGCCGATCCGATCCGATATTTAATATCGACACAGCCCTACTTATATTTTAATGACATGATTAAGCTTTTCAAAATATTATTCTATTATTAAAGTAATATTTAAAATAATGATATATTAATTTATCTTTTTACCTTCATATGCTTTTTTAAGTTTAAACTGCTGGACATTGAGGTTGAAATATTTGTGTGGGGATATAATTTACATTTCCCAAGTGTAGACTTAATACCATTAATTATCTTTATTGGTTTAAAATATATTTCAAATTGGGGCCAGGGAAAGGTTAAATCATCTTCTGAAGAAGTAAGTACTATGGACATAATATTCTTAAAATAAATTATAAGAATAATAATATCATTATTAACATTTACTTTGAATTTTGATTGAATATTAATTTCGACAGAAAATTTAACAACGAGAATTTAAAATAAAAATGAAGGCAGTGGTTGATATGAATTAAAACTCGGATTAAATTATTTATATTAATAATTAAAAAATAAATAAAAGTAATTTTATAATACAATAAAATATGTTTTTCTTTTTGTTGATATTTTTTAAGAAAAAATATAAAGTAACGAGTAATGTTTTGCGTTAACGTTACTCAAAAAAAAGAAACACGTTACCGTTACTCGTTACCTCTAGAAGAAGGTAACGAGTGGCATTCCTTTTCTTCAAAAGAAGTAACGTCGTTAGTATCGATGTTCCTTTTTTGACGTTACTTCACAGCACTAATATAAACTAAAGACTTTAAAAAATTTCAATTTGCCCAAAATTTTAAGCAAATTAACCAATGTTACACCTCAAAATTAGTTCTTTACTGTTCTTAATGGTAATTTGTAATATGAATATATGTATACTATAATAAAGAGAAAAAAATATAGACGATATATCAAGATTAAAATGGGTAAATTTTAATTAAAAAAATTATGATTTATTGTATCTAAAAATTATTAGTTATTTATTTTCATTTATCTTTCATTTTAAATCTTATAATTTTACTAGAGTTTTAATTAATTACTTACTAATAAATGATTTTATATAATTATTAATCCCGAAAATATTTTTCTGATATAAAATTATTTAAATTGAAAAGAATAATTTATTTTCGATTAATATTGACTCAGAGTTATTTTCCTCCGAGGTAAAAATGTATTTTTATTTAATTATAAAACCTGATTTTTATCAAAGATCTGCAGATGGTCAAAATTTCAGGCCCGGTCCGTATTTGAATATTCTTTAGTTTTAGACTAGACCAGAATTATTTTAAAATGTTTAATTTTAAATACAAATTTTCTCACTTTTTGGCTCGGCCCAAATTTTTACGGCTTGGTGCGGAATTTTTAATTAGTTATTTTGAATAATTTTGCATATTTTTTCAAGGAGAAATTGAAAATTTGATTAGCAAATGATTTTTAAACGCTTCATTAAGCTGAGTCCTAAATATTAATTCGTAACTTTAATGAAAAAAAGAGGAATAGGCTATTTTTAATGTAAAAATAGCATAGTGGCCTAATTACGTTATAATTCTTTAAGTTCGAAGAGTTATAAAAATTTTAGCTTAAAGTTCACAAAGTTGTGAAATTTTACGAAAAAAATATAATCAATAATAAATTTTCATTTTTCAAATTATAAGAAATTGGCAGTTATATTAATGAAAATGGGAAGTCTTTAATCGAAATGGAAAGTATTAAAATTAAATTGAAAGTATAAAAATACAAAACTTAAAAAAACATTTAATGAAAGATTTTGGACATGTTTCATAATTTTATAGTTAAGAAAGGTTTGAAATTTTTTTTAAAAATATTAAAGGCTTCATTATGATTTTCCTTATAATTATTTCATATAAATTTTAATATATTTTTTTAATCGGAACAGCCCAGATTTCTTTAATAAAAATTTCAAGCCCATAAAATGAATTAATTCTTAAGCCCAGCCCGTCCGGGGATTCCTGATTTATATTAAAAAATATCATGAATTTGCCAGTTCAAGTGGTAAAAGCTTTCTTATAGCCAATTGAAAAAATGTTTTATAATAAAATAGGAATTTCAAAACTTTTTTTTTACATGCATATTATTGTGTGACAGTGAACTAGCGTTATCACCATTGGTGTGATAATTGTGAAGATAAACGGGAAAGTTTTCCAAAAATTCCAGGACACCAACTAATTTCTTGATCAGTATAGCCAGGGGTGAATTGAGTATATTGTCGCTAACAAGAAAAAATATTGAATTAAATATACGCTTTGAAATTAGGATATAATAATTATGTTGGATATTGAAGAGATATATTGAAACCACAATTAATCTTATAAAAAATAGTGTTACTGCTGGTGTAAATATTTTTTTTAAAAATTATCTCTAAAATTGTTATGGTTCAGTCTAAGGTAATCAATTCGATCTTGTGTGTGGTTCAGGCAGGATGACCTCTACTCATTTATATAGAATAATGTATTTAAAAAAGTTTACTAATTCAAAAGTGGCGTAACGAATATCTTTAAGAATATTTGAATTCGTTCGTAGGCTTGCCAAGCCACAAATTTGTCAATGCGAATATCCCACTTGAAGAAAAATAAATATAACAATTAGCCATTATTGAAAATTTTATTCTGGTAAATTTTATGGTAAGAATTTAATAAAAAAATGTCCGTTTTTTCATTAATTTATAAAAAATAAATAAACTGTCATTTATACATTTTAATACATTACATTTTCATTCTTACTGGGGTTCTTAAAATGAAAAAATAACAACTAATTGATCAGATTATGTACAAAATTTCAAACTATATATTTTTTTAAATATTCAATAATCCTAATTCAAATCAATAGCTCACTTGCTATTAATGACTAAAAAACTCCCACCGAACTTATAATAACTCATTTCTGTTTAAGTTCAAATAAAATTAAATTCCGAAATTCTTTTATTTCAAAATTTATATCATAATTACAACTTAAAAAATTGATTTGCATGAATAAAAAAATTACAAGTTAAAAAGTAAAAAACCAAAAAGTCAAGAAAAATAAAAAAGTGAAAAGTTTATAGAATCATAATCATTATTTTTATCAAAATCTATGATTGACATATTATATAAAATATATATAATTATTTTTAAATAATTACAATAATTTTAATCTTGCCTTTGCCTCAAGGTGCTGGATCAAAATAGAGCTCATTTGTGTGAATATTAAAATGACTCCATTAGTCTCATCTCTAGGAATATTTCTCCAAAGAGCCTCATTTTATTACCACTTAGCATCATCTTCTTCGACAAGTAATTAAAGGAATTTATCCTAAATACCATCACAGCCTTTTAGATTCATTTTTTGATCTTGAAACGACCAATCCTAATGCACCCACTCAAAGATGGAAATATCTTAATCCACCTTTTTCCCTTAATTTTCATTCTTTTAACTATTGAGAGAATATTTTTTTACATTATGTTCTAAATTTGTAATCAAAGATAGGTTCAAGGAAATCAATAGTTAAAAAAACAATAATTATTCATAAAAGTCTAATCCAACCTTCCACAAAACCAAGATCAATAACGAAAATATAATTTTTGATAAATGTTTCCTCAAAAATGACTGCTCTATTAAATTTGTATAAGAGGTTCGAACACATATTCAGTTAAGAAATTAAAAATTATCTGGTTAGAAATTTTCAAACATCATTTCTATTTTATATTACTGCTATTAAGGATGCACCAATTTTTAATTTTGTATCTGCCATATCACATTTTTAATGATCAATACTCTCAAAATGGTAGGTAAAAAAATAGCCAATATCAACTTATAGGTTAAATCGGATGACATCGAATCGGCATCGATGCACCAGAAAATTAATTTGATAGAAATAGCGTGCCACAAATATATTCTAAAAATAACCCATCTCCGCAATTACGCAACATTTATCCAATATAGAATAACATCTACAAATTGGGTGGTCAAAAATTTTGCTCCAATTCATAAAATATATCAAAACCTCGGGCGTTAAAGCTTTCAATAGATTTTCGAGCAACCCACTTGATAACAATTCGTAGGGGGTAATATCCGTTTCTAGATCCGCTTTTTGAGTCAGCATTTTTTGCAAACGTTTAAACGCGCTTCCCATATTGTGCTTCCAATCCATTTCATCCTCCTAAATGTTATTTACATTAAATAAAATTTAAAATTCCTGCGGAGATTTATGAAAAAAATGTATATTTATCTAAAATACTAATACACCTTTCTAAACAATCTATTTACTAAGAATACATTTTTGTTAATGTTGGGTCATGAGCTATTACATGATTATTCGTTTAAATAGTTTATATGTCACTCGAAGTATTGTTATAAAAAAAATATGTTATTTAAAAATCTCTAATTTAGTTGAAGAACTTTATTTAAACTCAAAGAAATGGAAATTAAATTTACCCGATTAACACCATATTGTCCATAATGGTAATATATTATAATTTTTTAAATTTAAAAATTAATTTAAGCCATGAAGTGTTGGGGAAAAAATCTCGATTTCATAAATTTTACCTTGAGAGAAAACTTTTGTTCTTTAAATTAATTATCATTTCTCTTTTCCAGTATACAAATAATTAAACTTTTGATTTCATTAATTTAATAGTGTGTTAAGTATTATTTATGCTAAGTTTAGTTATTTTATTCTCTTTCACTTTTAACCAATTTAGTTATTCTTTAATAAATATATTGCTTCATTATCCAAATTCGCAGAGCAACTTAAGTCCATATCAAGTGCAAGATTAGATATTAATTTTGAATCACCTAAAAAATCATCTTTCTCTTCAATTGCTAATGAGTAAACAAATTTTATTTTGAATAACAACCAAAAACGCTATCATATTATGTGAAATTGACCAATATTATCTAAGATTATATAAATATATATAAGAAGCTTAAAAACCTTTGCATTTATCCGATAATTCTCACTCAACTTTATATTTAAACGAAAATAACAAATATTTTTCAAAAAATATTTTCAAAATGGTCAATTTTTTTCGCATTTAGGAATATTGCATTAAAAAATCAATTTAAATTAAATAATAAAATGTGCTATATAATATTTAAAAAGTGTGGTTGAAAATCAGAATTAGCAAAAAAAATATTTCTATGAGCGTCATATTAATTTGGAATCGGATTATTAGAATAAAAATAAAGGATAAAAACCGATAAAGTTATTTTGATTTGTTGTAGGTAAGCCGATTCAATGAGGGAAGAGATGGCGCCAAGCTTATTTATTTTGTTGCGATCCAATTCGTCCAGATTGGTAAAGTAATTTTCACATATACTTTTACACTTTTCCGCTAACTAATATTTATAAAACGTTTTTTAAATAAGATTTGTAAAATGTACTTTAGAATTTAATATTATGGAACATCAATTTTATCACATAAATTCTAGTGAGTCTAATTATCTAAAATGGAATCATTTTTTGTAGGGGGAAAATATTTTTTATCCGAGAAACATTTTTTTTTAAATTCATAAGGGGAAGCATTTTTTTATTTTAAAAAATACTTTGGTAGAACGAGGGAACCCCTCTTGTTCATCCGAATAATCCTCGGACAATTCCGTGGCCAAAGAACGAATCTTTTCTATGATACCCATTCGAAAAAATTTAAGCGCGAAAAACGCTTTACAGTTTACCATCAAATTTTCGATAATGTCCAATATCGATTCCCTGCAATCATTTTCCTCCTTGAAATATATATAATTTTTTAATTGAACAAATATATGTAAAAATACATTTATTTCTATGTTTCAAATTTATATTAATATACATTTTAATACGAATCTTGTTTATAATTCATAGTTACTCTAATAAACATTTTTATTTAATAAACCTAAAAAAATGTAATTTTGTTAAGTTCTTTTAATTCTTATAATTAAGAACAAATCCGAATTATTATTTCAATTCATACAATTGATAGATTTGTCATTAACTGGTCATTAAAATAATTAGTCAATTTTGTAAAAATAATATTAAATTCATTCAATCTTATAGAGTCCAGCAAGCAAAGTTCGAGTTTCAAAATTCAGAAAAATTGATTAGTCCTGGTCCATAATCGCAACTTAAATCGGACCGGGTTTGGTCATTCCATGTCAACTTTTGGCCAACCCCTTTCAATTTTATTAAAAATTTGTAGCCATATTATTTATAATCTAGTGATGTTGTAAATAAAATTTTAGCTAATTAGTTATATTACCTGAGATAATGGGAATTAAAGGCATAAAAATCGGATTTTTAATAGCTTTTTACTAGTGCTGTAAACATTTTTAAAAAAATCAAACTCGTTCGCGTTCAACGTTCATTGACAAAATCGAACGCGTTCACGTTCACGTTCAAAAAAAGGAACGCGTTCACGTTCATGAACGCATTCACGTTCGTTCAAATTTTATGATAAATTTTTTTTTAAATTTAATTTAATATAAATAAATGTCTTATATTTTTTAACACAATATATTAGCCATGTTAAAAAATAATATAGTTTTATTTTGATAATATAATTATAACTGCAATATAACATAGCGAATAAAAGGATTATTTTATTTATAAAAAATTCTTATTAATTTTTAATAACAATTGTTCTTCAAAATTTTCATCTGATGGAACGCTTGGCAGTTAATATGATATTAGCTAACTAAAAATGCGCTCTACAGTTCACACTCTAATAGCGTTTCGCATAGAACTTCATGATTAACATTATCAAAAGCTCTAAATCCACGAAAGTGAAGTAGAAGAGTATTTTGTATTTATAACATTTTTACATAATTATTTTCAGGGCTATTGGCTCTAGTATGTTTTTGTTTGGTCTGTACGACATATTGGGTAAAAGATGAAGTGTAGATATGATTTTATTTTTTAAGAGGACCATCTTTGAGACAAAGGATGTGAGGGCTAAGGTTCGGTAATAAGCAAATTTTTGTAGGTCTTTGATTTTAGGAAATATATAGGAAAGGTTCCATTCCACTGGAGTATTTCCGTTCTCCCATATTTTATTGAAGAGGGCTAATAGGAAGGAAGATATTGTCAATAAGTGCGATTTTAGGTATTCAGCTGTGATATTATCCAGCCCCGGAGCTTTTTTCCGTAGTTTTTGACTACATTTAATATTTTATTTATGGAGAAGACCGAGGTGGGACGAGGTTTGTATTTATGTTTGTTGGCAGAATTGCTTTCCGTGAATCGAAGACCATCATATAATGATCAAGTCATAATGCCATTTGTTCGTCGGTCAATGATTACTTTTCCGTTTCCTAAAACTGGATTTTCTAAAACTACAAGATTTACAGAAATATTTTAATTTTTCATAGGCATCATAAATCCTATTTTCTTTTATTTCTTTATAGATATCAAAAGCTTTTTTTACTATGTATACTCATCTATCACTCCGCAGTAATCTCTATATGTTTTCCACAAGTCGTTATTCGAGCCATTCTTCAGTCTTACTTTATTTATTTTTTCTAATGTCTGACTAGACTCCACTCTTTCCTTGAAAAAAGACTTACATTTGGCGACATCATTTTAAATAATTTTCAGCATTCTTCTACGTTTCCGTGCAAAGTTATGTTTAGAAAGTTGGCTCTTTTCCTATATAATGCTTGATCAAAAATTATTACATCTTCCTGCATTTGTAATTTATTGAATTTACGTGTAAAGTTTGTTTTCAAATGATTTGTACTATGTACAGTCGAGTTTTGTATAATTCTGTTATAATAGCCCCTTATATTTTTAACGGTAATATTAGCTATAAGCCTTCTATGATCTGACAGGTTTATATTAGTTAATGCTTTAACACCGTCAAACCACTGGTGAATATTAGATAAAGAAATCAATTTGGGATTTGCAGAACCCTTACGAAGGTGTATGTGTTTATTTCTCCGTGGCAAAAAAAAAGTATTTTCGATTTTAAAGTTCTTGTTTCTGCAAAAATCAGAAGTTTCTTGCTATCCTCGTTATTCGGTTGATGTATGATAGCATACCCGGTGACATTACTGCTAACATATTCTGCTTCTTTGCCAATTTTCAGTTTTAGATCGCCTAGAATTATTACATTATATCAGCATGGTAGGGAGTGGATCGTATTTATCATTATGTCAATGATGCCTATTCTTTCATTTCTATTTGGTGGGGCATAGAAATTTGCTATTATTGTGGGTCTAAAATTTGTGTTTTAATGGAAAGGATCACATCTTTCAGATAGGATACGAATTTGATGATGAATTTATGTATTCGTTTATTTATTAGGAATGCTATCCCAGACCAGCTTTTGGAAGTTGTACCCAAGCAAAATATTTTATAATCGTTAAAGTTTGTAGTGTTATTCCTTGGACAGTGGGTTTCTTGAATACCTATAATGTCTACTTTCACCACTCTAACCTTAAGAGATTAGCTAGTTTGTTTTTCATCCCATTTATTTTAAGAACGCAATTTGTAACTTGCCTGTGAATTTGTTCTCCATTTGGCTATATTAACTTGAACCCAAGAAAATTTTATAAAGATCCAGGTGGCGTTAAAGAATTCAGCTCTTATCAGTTAAAAAAATTTAAATATGAAAAAGGAAAAACAGCTGATAAAAAAAATATCAAAATTTTTTCTTAAAAAATTCGGATTAATATTAAATTTTTCAAATAAATAAAAATAAAGTGTTTTTAGAATTGAATGAACGTTAAATTCGAATGCGTTCGTCAAAAAAAAAGGAATGCGTTCACGTTCAAAGTTCGTTAAAAATAAAAGGAACGCCGTTCATCATTTTTTGCAAAAAAACGAACTTCGTTCACGAACGCGTTCGTTTACAACACTACTTTTAACTCATTTAAATAAATAGTTTCAAATTAAAAACTAAATTAGTTAGAATATTGAATCTATTAATAACTAAGTCAATGATTGATAATTAAGGAAAAACATTAAAATTAGATTATTCAAATATTCGTCATCTTATGTCCAGTAGAAAATTTAAAATTAATATTTCAAAATAATTATGAGCTACGATTTTTATAAAATTTTTTCCTATTATTCACTTACCATTTTTTAAAATTTATCATATTACAATAAAACGTTCATATATAGCGCCATCTATACGTTTTCAAAACATTATTGGTGATTTTTTTTAAATAATTAGCCAGCCGAGCTATATATTGAAAAAATTAATAGAAAAATAGTAAAAGAATATTAGAAAATAAAAATTTGAATAATGGATATAAAATAAGTAATATTTTAAAAAATTTAATTTTGATGTTTCCCCCATAATTACCCATTGTTGACTTTTTTAATATTAGATTCAATATTCGAGACATCAAGTAAAAAGTTTTTAAAAAGGCGGTTTTGTATCTTAAATCCACGTTATCTCAGGTAATATAATTCGTTCTTGATATAACTAGAACATATATAACGTGACTACAAATTTTGATAGAAATTGAAAGGGGTCGGCTGAGAATCTGATTTTGTTGCTCATTCATTAAGTTTCTTTTCGGTATAAATGCAAATGAAATGAATCGAAAACACAATTTTTATTTAAAAAATTTAAAGATAAAAAAAGGGTTCATTTTAAACTTCATTAGTAAGGATCGAGTTTATAACGCCACACATACGGTATACAAAGTTCGGGAAATCGCGGTGTATTTTGTCAAAAATGTCTTGAACTCGCAAAGCCTTTGATTTGTTGGTCAAGTAAACCAATTTAAATACCAATGCTAAAAGAGCTTTCCTTATTTATTTTTATTAATATAAACAAATTTTAAAGTCGATCATCATGAAAAATTTGGAACTAGATTTATAAATTATTATTATAAAATAGGCATTAAGATGCTTTAAAAAACGTCGTAAAATTGCTAAAGAAATTAAACCTTTTAGAGTTCCATAATAAAATATATTTCAAGGATTCTTGGGAAAAATGTATAAATCATATATTTTTAAAAAATAAATACCTTAAAATAAAGGAATTCAAATCAACGTATGAGTCCATTAATATGACCAAAAAATTATGAAGGTATCTCTGTGCCATTTCTATATTTTCTTCCTCTTTTGCCTTCTCCTCTTCTATAAAATATTTTGTGAATAATATTTATTACAAGTTCTGGCCTGTAAAATATATTTTGTTCAAGTCGTCCGCAATAATTTTTTATGAAAAAGATATAAATTTTTATTCAATTATCAACTATAAAAACATTTCAAAACTTTGCCAGGTCCGTAAAAATAATTTAAACAATTTGTCCAACCCAGCCTCTAAATCTTTTTGTCCATTATATTCTACGTTGGCACAACCCAGTTCAAAACAAGATTTTCGGGCCGAGCTGGACAAATTAAGCAAAAAATTTTTATAGGCTAAGCAGAAGATTTGAAATTTTTTTTTGAGCTGATAAAGCCAATTTATTTTGTTTTCTTCATAAGAAATGTTGTACAAAATGTATTTTATGGGCCAGGTAAAAATAATTAAGTAATTAAGGGCCAGGAACTAATTACTGCAGACGCCTTTCAGATAGTAATAAACCCGATAAGTTTCTATTCCACAATCAGAATAGGATATAAAAAATGATCGGCTGCTCAGATAGCGTTTAGAAACAAAAATGAAATCTAATTATTTTATTGGCGACCTGAACTCTATTCACTACCATAATACCATATTAATAATTCCTAATAAAACAGTTATTTCTTTATAAAAAGTCGTATAAAAGTTAATTATAAAATATGAGTATAAAACCAATAACGATGGAATTTTTAGAAGCCTGCATAAACGGATTCTTTGAAATGGCATTTACAAGCTTAGATGACGGATTTTCGATGTTGGCGACATTAAACGAATTCTCGTCATATTCGCCCGCATTTTTTTCGATGTTGATGATAGTGGATTCAGGAGGAGTCTGACTAGTTGATGCCTCCTTTTCTGGCTCAATATTTAATTTGGTGGGACTTTCCTGAAAGTAGTTTTTTTATGTAATCATTTTAAAATGTATATAAAAAACAATGGCGTTACTAATATTTTCAAAAATATTTTTTTGGGGTATCCGATATTAAATATCAATATCGGGTTGGTCTCAAGAAAAATATCGTATCGGCAGATATTTTATAAAAAAATAAACTAATACAAATTTTATAAAGTAAAGATAAATATTTTTTTCCACATTTTTTATTTTATATTTGAACTAATTTTTTTTCTCGTAATAAATTTTCACAACTCCCATAAAGAAAGTGTGAAGGGAGGCAACACTTTTTTACATTTTATTGATGATAGAAGAAGTAAAATATATTAATAAATTAATAGGAAAAGTAATTTGAGCTGCTATTTTTTTAAGAAAAACCCCGAGGCCAAAGTGATAGTTTTCGGCAACTAGGATTAGCCTATTTTTTAGCCTGCTAAAAATTGGCTTACGGCAAAAAATATAGCGAACTATAGTGTAGAACTATTAAATATACACATCCCTAAATTTAAAAAAAATAAGAAAGCATGTCTAATATTCTAAACACAGAGAATGAAATTAAAAATTGTCTCCTGTAAAGTTGGGAAAAATGGAGATAGAATAATCTAATTCTCAGGCGAAGAAATATTAGAATGGAAATCATTTAAAAAAAGAAAAGTAATTATGAACATATTAAATCATTTAGATTAATAACGAATATTATTAATAATTTTCAATGTTTTTTCCAAAATTTCCAATATTTTCTTTAAAAGACCATATAAATTCAATCGAAAAAAAACGTTTAATTAATTAAGTAATTTTCAATTATTATTTAAAAAATTCGTATTCAAATCAATAGAATAATTGTGATATTTATGTTTGTAAAATCGAATATTATCGAATAAATAATAACTAATAATTCATTTTATAGGCCAACCTACTATTGTAAAAATAAAATTGAACTTCTTTACCAATAATACAGATTTCTTTAAAGCAGATGCATAAGTCAAAACATTTTGGTGTAATTCGTCAAACATAGTATTGTCCATTTCTTTATATTTTTATTATAAAATAATCAAGAAATGAAAATATATCACGGGATAATTGCAGATATCATACAAAATTCGATAATGCCAATTCTGATATTTTAAATATTTTCGTAAATGCTGATACTTTCCAATTTCGATGCTGACAATTCTTTTATATCATATTAAAATAATTTTTTTTATGCTTGTTTATTATGAAATGCACTTTAGGTACATTCTAAATCAAAAAGCAAAACATTAGAGATAATTCATTGTAAAATTTCCATAATACAATAAATAACTAAAAAAATAATACTTGAATTACTATTTATTTATTATGTGTGCTAGTTAAGATTTTGGCTAATAAAAAAATCAATTTTATTAAAAACGTGATTTAAATCACCCAGATTTTTTAATACGATTTTATTTAATAAATTCGATCAAAATACCAGAGTTTTTAAAGTAGCGCGCTAACTTTTTTGGTAGCTATAACTAATAGCGGCTACTTTTTTTGTAATTATTTAATTTTTTAGCGCGCTACTTTTTATAAAAGTAGCTAAGTAGCCGCTACTTCGCTACTTTTAAAAAATATAATGAAGGTAAGTATAAACATGAAAATTTAAATATAATATCATAATTATAATTTTTATGATTTATTATTTAATTTTGAAATTAAAATATAATTTCAATTTGTAATTTATATTTTCATTTGTATTATAAACCTAAATCACGTGTTAATAATTTAAAATGTCATCGCCTATGGATATCCAAATCGTTGAAAGTGATTCAGACAATGATATTAATGAAATGGAAGTTACCATTTAATAGCTATAATACAAATTTCCCATTCCCTAGATTTGAAATTTTTTTTAAATATATATATAACCTTTCAAATTTATTTGTTTAAAATGTAAAAAAAAATATTTCCCCAAATCAATCCAGTAGCTATAACCTCAAGAAACACCTAAAGGTAAATTGTCATTTTTACATTCTAATATTTATTTTATAAGACTGTTCATGAGTGTTAAGGAAATGGAGAAACATCTAAATAATTTTGGTATAGGCGACTCTACATCCAAAAAGACTAATTCAATTCAAACCAAATTAATTAATAATGCAAATGACAATATTTCTCAGAAATTGGCTGTTAAAGTTATTGTTGATTTTATAATTTATACAGTTGAGCCAATGTCCTTAGTTGATAATCCATCATTTACCATGATGATTAAAACTCTATTCCCCTGGTACAACAATTTTATGCTGCCAGACACTAATGAATAAAATAGCAGATAACTTTAAAATGATGAAAGATGCTCTAATAGTAGAGTTATCAGGGATATCATATATATGTACCACGGCAGATAGTTGGACACATAACAGAAGGTAAAAACTTATTTATATTTATAAATTGAACTGATTAAATATTTTTGAGCTTATTTTGGAATCACAGGCCATTGGCTAGACCCTAAGACTTTAAAAAAAAGATCTGTGGCATTAGCCCTCAAAATGATAATAGGATGCCAGACATACGATGTATACAAATAAAATTATTGATAATCTATCTTATATTAAAAATATGTATATAAGATTAAATACGCCTTTACCCCCAAGTGCTAGTGTCGAGAGATTATTTAGCAAGGCAAAACTTATACTTTCTGATCGTTGCTCTAGACTTGGGGATGATAATATTGAAATGATTTTATTATTAAAATGGTTCAAATTACCATAAATATTTATTTTTATTATATAAATTTTTTTATAATCAAAACTAACTATATTTTAATATTTATAAATGTTGATTTTTATATATTTACTATACAATAACATTATAAGCAAAAAATAAAAAATTTGTTTGTAAATTTTTTTTATAAAAAGTAGCTAATAGCGAGCTACTTTTTTTAACAAATAGCGATAGCGGTAGCGCGCTACTTTTAAAAGTAGCGTTTAACAACTCTGTCAATATAGTGAAGGAAAGGGATTTAGAATCCAAATATTTAATTTTTTAAATCAAAAATATTAAATTATTTGATTTATTTCAATTTTCAATATTGATAAAAAAAATTAAGAAACTTGTAGATTTATCAAATAATTTTATATTATATTGAGACAATATTTAACAATTATTTTATATATTGGGTCAAAATTTGAAATAGAAATAAAGTATTTTTAAAATTTTTTTATTGAAGTAATGATTACTATCAGGATTGCCAAATCTCCCGCTTTTGGCGTAATTTCTCGATTTTTTTACTTCAATTTACGCCAAAACACAATATCTATTGATTTACGCTTTCTCCCGATTTTTTTTATTTTACAAAATAATTAAAAATAGCTTAACCAGATAATTACGCTATCATTTATTTTAATTCCATTATACATTTAAAAGGACTTTTTTTTTGTATTTTTTCCCCATATTTTGCGAGGAAAAAACAAAGAATTCCAAAAAAAAAAAAATTTTTTCTATCTTTACTTTTCAATTTAAAATATAATACTATTTAATATTTTCATTTTAAAATAAATTGTTATAATAAATCATATAATAATTACTTCCTCTAATTCTGATGATGAAATTAGTTACTATGTAAATGTGAAGTAAGTATTTTGTATAATTTTTAGAAATCCATCCATATAAAATAATATTTTAGAAGTAAGCAATTTATTATTTAAAATTCTAACAGTAATAATAATTTATGATTAATTAAATAAAGTTTTCTTATATATCATTTCTTTTCCAATTTATTTCATTAATTTAAATTATATACAAATTACAGTTTAAAGACATGTTTAACATCCAAAAAAAAATGTAAATCTCAATATCTAATTAACTGAAATTCCATTTATTCATGGGTCAGAGAAGTTAAAGAATATAGCTTAAATGCAATATGTATATTAGTGCTGTAAACATTTCTAAAAAAATCAAACGCGTTCACCTTTCAAAAAAAGGAACGCGTTCACGTTCGTTCAAAATTTTATGATAAATTTTTTTTTTAATTTAATCTAATATAGTTTTATTTTGATAATATAATTATATATACAATATAATTAGCAAATAAAAAGATATTTTTATTTATAAAAAAATTTTCTTATTGTTTTTCAAAATTTTCATCAGATAGACAGGAATACTTGGCAGTTAATACGGCATTAGCTATACTAAAAACGCGCTATACAGGGGCAGATGAGGGGATTGCGGTAATATACTTAATAAGCAACTCTTTTAACGTGGGGAATTTATTGAAAACATTCATTGTTTTGTACTTTGCTTCAAAAAATTGAGATAAGTTATCCTCATCCAATCCATCCTTTATTTACTCGTCAAAAAAAATGATATCTCGAAATTAACAGTTTTTGCATTATCATTAGTTTTCAATGCATTTTTTCAATAACGCTATAAGTTTATTTTTTATAGGTTCGTTCTGTGGAAGTTTTATCCATGGCCATTATAGCTTGTATATTGGATGTATAATTGCAGAAAGAACATATTGATCTTCATATATATGTTCAAATCTTTAAAAAAAATAAAATATATGTAATTAATTTGATGATGATTTAATACATTTTATTAATCCCATTTAATAATACGTCTATCAATAGTTGAATAATTTAGGCCACTAATTTTTCGTTATTGTTGGGGTCAAATAACCTAAATGCATTTTTTCTTCTAGTTTAATGATTTTGCTTAGTTATATATATTATATAAAATAAAATATTTATATTACAATCAAATGTCGTTTTAAATTAGAACTTGAAGATTTTGAAAGTGATATAATACTTTTTGGGCACATTTTATATATGGTATGTATTGAATTGTTTCCTTCAATATAGGATGTTACTGTAAAATATTTATCATATTTGGGTCATGGTAATGTTAATTCATCTGATTTTAAATTTTCAGAATCAGGTGATGATGAAATAATAATATCCATGCTTATGCTAATCTATTAAATTACAATATAAACAATAATATTCAAATTAATAAACTATAATAATGGTGTTTTAAAAAAAATTGAAATGTGAAAAGGAAAAACAGTTGATTATAAAATATAAGACTTTTTTCTTAAAAAATTAGGAATAATATTAAATTTTCCAAATAAATAAAAATAAAAGGTGTTTTTAAAATTGAACGAATGTTAAACGCGTTGGTCATAAAAAAGGAACGCGTTCAAGTTCGTCAAAAATAAAAGGAACGCCGTTCACCATTTTTTTCAAAAAAAATATTTAAAAAATAAGGAATCATTAAATAATATCCAAACATACTCAAAAACAATAATTTATGTGATGGTAATACTGTAATACCCGAAACGACATTCATCTATAAGATGATAAACATTCGCTTAAGTTATTAATGTATAGATTGCGCTACAAATATATTGCCTACACCCTTTCCTGATTCAAAAATAGTCAAAAGTCTAAAATGTAGAACAAAACCTAGGTCCTTAAATGAAGTAACACATCTTATAGGATTGAGAAAAAAATCATCCATTTTCTCAATCAACTGATACATCAAATAATGGAAATACTAAAACATTCAATGCTGCAGCCTATTTTAATAAAGAGGTTTCAAGGACCTCTAAAAAAATTTGACTATGAGAAATCGACGAATATTGCGTCTGTGCTTGCACAGAACCTTGAAAATTGCAACCTTCACTATCAAATGTAATAGCTTTTGGTGCCGATAACACAAATGTAAATTTCGGAACGGAATTATTAGTTTTGAATTGAAATATGGTTGCCTATATACAATTCACAATACAGGAAAAAGGAGCATGCTTCATTATCAATAGACATGGAAATAATTGCTATGAAATGTTATGCTGAGCAGATCCACAAAGAGGGTATGTTTTAAAAAAAATATGGATTCTCAAGATATTTAGTTAATTAGGGGCGAGGACGACCTTAAACAACGTGTTTAAAAATTTTCAAACCTAAAATTCAATTGCAGTGAAGATGTTTTTATTAATGAATAAATTAGCTACATCATTAAAAGCCCAGGTTATCAATAACTTTTACGGCTCGGTTATAGGACAACATATAATAAAATGTGATGATCATGATAACCCTCATCATTTCAAAATTAAGTTAATAAATTCGTTAAAACCATAATTTTGTATTTAGAAAAAAAATATGAATTTACAAATATATAATAGGAAAAAAGTATTCTGAAGCTCGATAATAAATTCAATTTCGAGGAAGTTGAATTATAATTTTAATTTAAAAGATATCGAATTAGATGAATTATTTTAGGAATTAGTTGCTTTAAATACATTTATAGAAAATAAATAGATATTTTTCCAATGATGCGCTAAATATTCAATATTATATTCTCGTTACCATAATCAAAAGCTGATTCAGAGCGCATATTTAGTTTATTGGAAAGTTTCTGGTGGAAAGACTGTAATCGGTTAATCAGCTTTAAAGAGGAATTAATGATCATAATTCTAATTATGCTTGAAAAGATTTTAAGAAATATGCAAAAAAAATTTCCCAGCCCGGATTTTATTTTTTTAAAAAAAATATATTCAGGCCCGGCCCGAATTTTTTTAAAATATATTTTATTTATTTTTGATTTTTACAGCTAATAATGGCGATTTTAAATATTTGGTTTTAAAAAATAAGGCCCGGCCCAGATATTTTTTTATTTTCAGGCCCAGCCAGGGTAAATTAAAAAAAATTAAAATAAGGCCCAGGCCAGGCCGGGTTGAGGGTCGGGCCTGCAGATCTCTGATAAAAATATATACTGATTTTTTTAATAATATCTATTAATTTATTTTAAAAAATAATAATATGCTATCTTCCTTTATTTTAGATTTGCATTTAGATATATTCATTTAAATAAAGAAATAATCACCAGGAAATCTTATTTGATATAAAAAAAAATTATTTTGAATAATGAAATTCTCCCACTTTCTGTTTGAATGAATCTGGCAACCCTGATTACTAATGTAATTTGATATTTCTGATTTTAAAAAGATTAACTTTTAGAGTAATCTAATTTTAAATTTAAATCAAATTGATTTCTTATTAGCCAGCCTTACACCATTGTTTTTTCCTTAATGTTTTAGGTTTAACATTTTAGGTTTCAATTTGTTATAAATTCTTGAGTTACATCATTTTAAAATCATGTAATTTTTTTTACATCAATTTTTTAATATATATATTATTCTTATATTATTTATTTGAAAATTAGCAATAATCATTATTTTCAAAATCTCAGAGAATTCTTAAAATTGGCACCAATCTATTCTATGTATCGTGCTTCTCTATATATTTTTTAAAAATTTACTGCCTCTTCCCAATAATTCAAACAAATATTCGTTGTCTCTGTTATTGTATATGTATTCGATGATTTGATGATGTGATGGTTTTAAAAGGGATGAACAACTTTTCTTCAAAGCTAATAAATTCAAAGTTGTATTTGTTTTATTGTTAAGTCCCAAATTAGAGGCATAACTATTAGTTACAGCATTCAAAAATTTTTGGACAGCTTTTCTTCCTTCAAAAACAATGGTGATAAAAATGTGTACAATACGTAAAGCCTCAAAAGCTATCCTTTAAAAAAATTATTAAAAGGGAATCAGAAAAATTTAATGAATACTTTTCATCTAGTTTAAAAGATTTTCTTATTAATAATAGAAGATTTAGGTCTAAGAAATCCTATATATGAATTAATTAAGCATTAAAAATTAAAAATAAAAGGTGAAACTTGGGTTATGTCATGAGAAGATACACAAAGATTTGCAATTAAGTTTAATAAGGTTGTTATAACTAAAACATTATTTTTCACAGAATTATTATTGTTGACATTGTTATTTTGATTGAAAGAAGATTCGTGATTCTCGTCATGGTTATTTTCAAATTCTAAATCTATATTATTCTGTGTAACATTTTCATTATCATTCAAATGTTGACCATGTGTGTATAATAAAAATTCTTCAACACCATCACTATCTTGATTAGAGAATGTAAATGATTGTGGATTATTTGAATGTTGATCTTTTAAGACTATAATTAAGCGCCTATTCAGCTGTAAAATTAATTCCTTAATAATAGATTTATGTATTATGCTTTTTAAATCAGATCCTTGTTTGGTAAAACGATCAGATATTGAGACTAAACATTTAAGAGCTTTTTCTTGAACCTATTTAATTTAATATAATTTATAAATAATTTATATTTTAATTTACTTCAATATCAGGATATGTCATGAGATTTGAAAGAGAAGTAATATAAGAAGAGAGTAATGGGTCTTTGAATTCTAATTTTCCATATAACTTTGACAAAACTATCATAGCAGAATTCAGTGTATCTTTATGGATAATATCCCCCATATCTTTGATAAAAAGAGTAATTGAGTGAAGGCCACCTAATTTATATACACTAGCTGATTCTCTGGTGCATAGAAGCTCTAATACCTACAAATTGCAATAGAGTATTTAGTTTAATAAAAAATTACTTTAACACATTGTTCAGATAAATCAATGCTGGTTTTATTATTTTTTTCAATACTAATTAATTTTAAACATATGGCTTTAATAAATCCCTCTGTAGATACTATTCTCCTAGTACATTCAGCAGAAACATCTAAAAAATATGTCAAAGCTCTTGCTGCTACCTCCAGAATATTGTCAGGTGAAGTTTCATCCAAAAATATATTACATAAAGGTGGAATAAAATTCCTTGGAGGACATCTTAATGATATAAATAAGTCAATAAACAAATTGTTAATTTTTTAAAATCTTTAACATACAATTCAAAACACTGGTCAATGTTATCAGACATTAAGAGCATCATACATAATTGTTCCAATGCAATCAACTGCATATCACGTTCTTCACCATTCCCACTATTTAGCCATTCCAGTAGTGTGTCAGGATCTGGATCACTCATCATTTTATTCTAATTTTTGAGAACAATAAATCAAGTCTCATCCAAATCAAATATCAAAGCATTTATCAGTTATCCTTTAGGAATCAAATATTAATAATTAATTAGTCAGTTTTTCATATGAGACTCTAGTAAAATAACATAATAATAGAATAAATAACAGCCTCATATTTAGACTTGCAAATCAGAAAAATAACTGCACTCAACGTCTTTGAAGTATTTTTTCATAATAAATTCTTCTGCCCTGAAGTTTTTCCCCCTTATGAAAAATATACGTATAAAAGAAAATAATTTATCGACCTAACTGTTGGATTCTAAGGTACAAGGGTTATTGGGAGTAAGGGATATAGAGGGGATGAGGGCAGTCATCAGATTAGGCGCGCCGGCTAACTCAGGTTTTAGACTATGAGTATAAGCTTTAACCATTGGCAACGGAGGTTGCTCAGGACGGCAGGGGCGTCGCAAGCCTACAATCTTAGAGGACTCAACTCAAAAAAAATTTATAGGGGGCTTCGCCTCCCATACTCCCCATTTTGCGGGTCTTCGGCCGGGTTTTATATTAATATATCATACATTTTTAAAATTAGCTAACTCTTAAATAATTATTCTGAATTTCATATTTTGTCATTTATTATATTTTGCATACAAAATAAACTAGCTTATAAATAATTAAAACAATATAAGACATTTCTAAAAATATTATTTTTTATACAAAATATAAAATATCTTCGATTGCTGATATAAAAAAATTTTGCGTCTAAAGAATTACAAGTGATAAAAAAGGTTAATTAATTAATACATATTCCTCAATCAATTGATAATGGAAAAACCACGGCTATATAATTCTTAGCAATTACATTGACATGAGGTCATGAAACTAATATAACTCACTGTTACCATTTTAGACAATGTTTTATGGAATGGACTAATACGGAAAAATTTATAGGCCTTACCAAATCAACAATTCTTGAAGAAGAGGATATAAACGACCAATTTAAATCAAACCTATATGGTTGTAGAGCTTCCTCTAAGATGACATGATAGAAGCTAGATAAATAATCGAGAAAATTATTGTTATTTATAAAAGTCCAAACTATAAACTTCCAATTGTAAACGTCCAATTTATTCATAAAAATATCTAATTAGTATCATAAACGATAATATAAACATTAATATAAAAATATGTAAACAAATAACCAATAACTATCCCATTAAATTTCGAAATCTTCAAGATCAATCCCGGCTTCCAATATATCCTCTTTGTTCTTTCCCAGCTGGCATCCCGTGATCTCCTAATTTTCTCTTCTTCCCCCAAGAAAAATTAAATGTTCCTGTCATAAAAATGACTGACATTTAGTATTTATTTCTTCTTTTTTCTAACTGCTACAACACGCTTTCCCTTCACAGGCCCAGCGTCCCTCTCTCTCTGGTGGCATTGTATCGAATCGCACATTTGAATTGTATCAACTTTCGTTACGCCTTGAAAACGTTCGGGGAATTTTTCGAATCGCCTAATATCTCCGATACATTTCAATATATAATCGTTAACAAAAATGTTAACAATAATGACATTTACATCGTGGTATTCATATTTGTAATCTATGGAACAATAATATTGACAATATAATATACAAGCAAAACATACTAATTAATTCCTTTTAATACATTTGGAAAATATGAGTTATAATATACATTATTCAGGGTCTGATTAATGAGAATTAGGAAATCATGATTTTACATATAATACTGTTATGTGAACAAATTGTTTATGTGTGAAATGCAATTTCAACATATGTAATTTTCCTTCTGTCATGTGAAAAAAACAAAGCTACATTTTTTATAAATATCTTCTAAATTTTTAGGTATTAAAAATAATTGCGAAACTTTGCCGAACAAAGATTTTAAATAAAATTACAAGGAATATGTATAGAAATAAATTTAATATTTTATAGGGAGGAAAAATATATAATACGTAGAAAATAAAATATTTTTCTCCTAGGAATTACTCAGTATCCTAAGAAAATATACCATTTCTACTTAACCCGGCCATCACAATTAGCACGGATTCACAGAAATGTAGAATGCAAAATAACAAAAATTGAGAATATAATGGGCTATATGGTATATATGTAGAGAATTTTTAATATAACATTCACAATATAAAAGAATCTGAGTTTTTTTTTAAAAAAAAATACATGTTCATAATATACATAATAAAATGTGATGTGCTATAAAATTATTACAAAGATAAAAAAAAAATGTAATACACAAAAGAAATTTACAAAAAAAAAATTTTTTAAAAAAACTTTTTCAAGTATTTAAACTAAACAATATTTCCATCTTAAGACATACCCATCAACACATGGCTGACCTTATCCATAAAAATATTTTCCTTTTAATAAAAATTCCAATAAACACGGTATAATACATGCAAATAAAAATTTTTATAAAATTTTATAATTTAAAATATATATATTAAATATAAAGATTTCACAATTTAAAAAAATATATTTACCATAATTTCTACCAATATATCATATAAATCCATGCCAAATTTATATATATATCAAACTTATACTTAACTCATATATCATATAAATCCATGCCAAATATATATATATATATCAAACCTATACCAATATATCATATAAATTCATACCAAATTTATATATATATATCAAATTCATATTTAACCCATATATCATATAAATCCATGCCAATAAATTTCTAAAAATTATCTTCCATTTTTAATGATATATAAACAACTACACAGTTGGCCATTATTGCTTATCTAAAATATGCAATCATATGCTCTCGGCGGCTCTAGTAATAATTTTAAATTACATAGCCACACTAATAATAGATGCTGGTTAATTTGCAGTCATAGCCATGACACTCACAGTGGTACCCATATCAGAATTTATTATGTTAGATAAATTGATAAAAGAAAAACACTAAAAATCTTTAGAAGAAATTATGCAAATATATTGAAGCCTTGAGTTATTTACACGGCAAGGATGGCATATTAGTAATTAAACATTTTATAACTATATAAAAAGAACCAGAGTTATATCATGAAAGTAAATAAGATTTTATATATTATTGTGGCACCACCTCTAGTTGGCATATTATATTTTTAAAATAGTAGTTTGTACAATGACATAAGCTGGTGACGCTATTGATGAAATGCCAATCCATTATTATATATTTTGTTTAGTGTATATTTTATAAAAAATCAGAGGAAGTTTTTTCCCTGAAATTTAATAATGTTTTTGTAATTAACATGAATTATTTTTCTTCAAATTACTATTGGAAATAAATGATTGTAATAGAATTATTTTCTACAAATTCTTATCTGGGAAATAACGACTAGTAATACTAGCCAATTGCAAGGTGGTAATACATGTAGTAAAATATCATAACCACCTTTGTCTTTACATTATATAAATTGAAGAGTTGTTTATTACTTTCAAATTATAGTAAGGCTAGTCAATGTTAATAACAAAAGAGGAAGTAATTAAAAAATAAATAATTTCAGTAATAAAATAAAAGGAGTAATTAAGAAAATATATTGTACAACATTAGTAAATTTAAAATTTTCGTAAATATCTTTTTAAGCTAATAAAAATTTCCACGTTAGTCTACCCCCCCCCCCTTCCCCGAAGAGAAATTTTTTAAAATAATTTTTTTAAATGACTTTATTATTCTAAATTCACTTAATTAATTAAGAATTTATTATAATTAAATGCGAAATATAAATAAATAGTTTAATATAAATTTAAAAATCTTAATTCACTTCATTTCTTTAAATGATTTATATTTTTTTTAATCGCGTATTCTTTATTTAGATGATAAATTTTTCATAAAACCATGAAAGATGATGTCGTGTTATCAACAGATACAGAGGATTGAAGTGAATGGAATAAATCCACTTCCACATAGTTTACATGAAGCTTTGGGGTAAAGGGGGGAGGTAGGAACAGTTTGCATTCAATTTATGGGGGGGGGTAAACGGCAGGCTAGGGGGTATTATTTATTAAATTTATTCTATAAAATAAGGCAATAATACTTTTATTATTGATTTATTTTAATACAATGATATTGCTAAACATCAAACAAATCTATATATTACACACAATCATAAACATTATTTTCCAAAAGAAACTATTTCTGAATAATTTTATACTCCCTTTCTAAGTGTAATTTAAATGGGGGGAGGGGGGGGGAGGCATTCTATCACTAAACTCTTATTATGCCAAACAATATATTATAATGTATTCATTGTAAATGAGGGGGTTATTTATTAATTCATTTTTTAAAATAACTCTTTTACATTCACATTCTTTGATAGTTGGCAGTAGAGCATTAATATTTTAAGTTATTCTTTTAAAATTTATAAAAGGAGTACCATTAATTTTTTTTTGTGTGGGGGGGGGGGGGGGTGTAAATATAGGTTTTTGAGGGAAGTTTGCACCCAGTGATAACACCACATATTAAATATTTTTCTCTTCTAAAAGAATTATAGAAAGCAATATTGAAGTTATAGGCGTAGCCAGGGGGGGGGGCAAGAAGGAATCACCCTCCCCTTCAGAAATTTATCACTTTTTGTGAATATCATTTTAAGCTAATAAAATATATTCCCCTTAGTCCTCCCCCTACTCCCTGACCCTCAAAAATGTATGCATATATCTTAAACAACAATTTGAAAGAAAGAATGTAAAAGTTGATATTTTTTTATAAAACTATTCATCATAGTTTATACATTTTTGGAAAAAAGCATTTATATATAAAAAAAGTGAACCAAAAATGTTTTTTAAGAAATGGAATATAAGCCAAAGATAAGTTTTAAGACAAAATGAAAAGTATTATAATTATTAATAATAGATCCATAAAATTACTAAATAATATAATATATCAAATATAATTTTTTATAAAGTGAGTAATTTTAATTTATTTATCTTAATAAAAGTAAAATATAAATATAAAACTATTGATAAAATTAAATCATAAATTAAATAAAAAAATTAAAGCACAATACAAACAGTGGAATATTATATGTTGTAGATTTA